GCCTTATCAGACTTGACAATTTTTTCGTCAATAGCCTTCAAAAGCTCTCTGGCATTATTATGCTAATTGACAGACGCACATATACTAGCAGAGATCTTGGTCTTTATGAGCATCATGGAAAGACAGTTAGATCTCTCCCATTGCTCATAAAGATCCATATCATCTGGCTCGCTGGTTTCAGTAATACCCAGTGGCTCGTCTTTCCGAATAGCATAATAGAGGTCTATCTAGTCTAAATGAAGGAGAATCATCTCCTTTCATATTTTGTAATTATCACCAGTCAATTCGGGAATATCACACTTAATATCAGAGAAATTCATAGGATTAAACACTCCAAAATTAAATCTATATGTTCATCAATAAACGAGACAAATAAAGTACATGTTCTACCAATGTAAACATGTTAAGACATGAATCTAAAGACATAAGACTTGCCTATGGGCTAAAGTTTTACTCAATTAGATTCAAACAAAACTTAACAATAAAACTATCAAATTGTGTTCCTTTTCTTAACTCCTGTGGGTAGATTAAGAAATACAATTCGATATTTTATCCCAATTACTCATATAAATATAACAAGACTCCTGTGAGTAGATCTCATCACATTGTACATAATAATTACAATCGATGTCTATTAATTTGATTCCAAATAAATCATGAATAAATGTTTAATTAATCGAGGATGTTGTGGTTATTCTCCAGTTAAATAAAATTTAAAATAAATCACAAACATCATGAACATGCAATCTGAAATACACATGTCTATAAGCTATTGAGTGCTCCATATATGAATTTATAAAATAAATTAGCAATCTTATTACAAGTTATCGAACAACATCAGCAATTGTCTTTGGACAAATTACTGACTCGCCAGTGATAAATTTGTTTTGACAATCAAAAGTTGACAATAAAGTAGTGTGTCGAACAATACTCCACTTTGGACAAATCTATTGTTCACACACAAATAACCAAATTATCATCACCACATTAAATGTCATTAAAAATGCATGTAACCACTCAATCGGTAACTTGTCTTTGGGTCAATCAGCAGCCTTATAAATTACATACACAATCTTCTAACATATAAAATAAACTGATTTATACAGAAGAGAACGCTTTGGCAACATTACTGTTTCAACCAATTCATAAAATATATTATAATATTTATTGCTAATTAAATTCACCTTAAAGAAAACTATGTATGTCCGATACATATGAAAGCTATAACAACAACAATTAATTTATGGACTCATTAAAATAATCAAATAGTCCAGAAAATACTAAATGCAGCGGAACTACACAGGCAAAAATATGCCACTCAAAGAGACTATATATTAAATACAATAAATAATTATAGTCGAATTTGAATAAATGCATATTGCCGAAAAAACAAATGTTGTTGTATCTCAAATTTAATTGGATCATCAAACGAATCATAATGATAGTCGATTATTCACAAAAACAACCATAAGAAATAAATAAATAAATATGGCATGACAAGTTACCAATTAATTAAGCATGACCTTCCATAAATTATTTCAATAAGAATAAATAAATAAATTTGATTGCAAGTATATGCACTGCATGTACATATGTGTATGTCATTCTAATTGAAATAATCAACTAATTTTATAATTAAATGATCAATTGATATGCAAAATTCATGCAAACACCAAATATCAATCAATATTGCATTATATATACATCATTATCAGCATCGATTGCAAACACTCCACAGATCAATGCAGACTAATACATTTGGAACAATTTTCAATCAAACATGAATAAATAAATGACTTGGATGAATTCACATGGTTCCAAATCCAGTAACACACAGTGTTTTCAATAATTTCAATCCTTATTGCATCAAAAGAAATTAATGTGTACTCGATTGCATTAAGTATTGAATAAATTAATAATACTCTTAATACATAAATATAATTGTTATTCCAAATGCAATGACATTACTTCTCTGTATGGTAATAAGAAGAAGGAATACAAGTACGGATTCATATATATTTCCGATAAAAATATTCATGTGATTGAAGATTGCTAATTTCATAAAATCAAATTAAACTTCAATCAAGACTAATTTTAATTAAGCGATCAATTCACGATACCAAGAATTGGTAGAACATGCAAATTAATTGATTGATCCAAAACAAAATAATTATCTATGTCATTCTTGAATCTACTCGATTCTTTTTCAATGTAAATTAATCGGACAAATCATCTCAATAATTCAACACGAACCGCTTCCTCAAGGTAATTAATTACGCATACAAGTTGACACAGATATGAAATGCACAGAAGACATTATAGAAGAATTTGAACACTCCATCGAAACATAGGAAAAATTCGGAAACTTAATATTTTGCATAAATTAATTTCAAAATAAAATTCAAAGTTTTTCTCAAAAACAGAATGAAAATTTCTCAAATCGCAGGGTCGGATCTTGATCAAGAAAATATCGCAAAGCAATTTTTGAACATAAAAAACAAAAATATATCCAAATAAGAAATTAAAGCGAATATTGATCAAGAATTTGATGAGAAGAAAATTCAAAGCAAGGCAGAGGCAAAAATGACTCTGATACAAAATGTAAGAAATAAAATATTAGCGGAAGCGACAATTAACAGTAGGTTGGAACCGTGGGAAGATGGTGTTGCCAAACCCGGAACCTTTGGGAAGATGTTGCCAAACTTTGGAAACCTAAGAAGATGTTGCCAAACCCTTACTCCCAAATAGCGATGGTGTATAATTTTAGGTTTAGTAACCCATATGTGAGAGTATTTATAATCAAAAAGAAAATCGTCACAATTTAGGGTTATTTCAATTATATAAGATAATCTAAAAATACTTAAAATTCAAATATGATTAATTAATTAATTAAATTACCAAGATCATGACCAGCAACTGTTTAGTCTCGAAGGCTGCCTAGTTTCTCTCTTGAGAAAGAGTTTTCTTCGGTTCAAAATATTATTTAATCTTGACCAAGTTATGTTTAAGGTTCCAAAAGGAGATATATCGGTAATATGATGGTGAGGACATCTGGTGCCCTACCCCTACAGTGGTGCTGCTGCTGTAAGATATGACCTCGTGTCATTTATTAATTATGGATGGTTTAAATAAAATAAAATAAATAAATGATAATATTAAGTGGAATTGGTCTAGTCAAATTAATAGTGGTTTAATACCACTTTATCATTATCCCACGTTGATAGAACGTGAGATAATGATTTTAACACAAAGGATTCTGGTCCTCTCTCTGCCTATAAAAGGTCAGAACAGATCTATTCTATCACACAAAAATTTAAAACTTGTGTGTTCTGGCATTGAGGCTAAGAGGGAGAAACCAAATGATCCAACCCATCGTCTAAAGAAGAGGATCCAACTCATCATCTAAATTAGAGCATCCAATTCATCGTCTCAACCAGAGGATTCAACCTGTCATTCTGAGAGAATGGTTTCCAACCAAGGTCAGAATATATACGCATTTATATGATAGAACGTGAGAATCATAAAGTTCAAGATCTTGTGAATTCAAATCGATTATATTTTTTTTTAAACTTACATGTGGTATCAAAGCTTAGTTTTGAACTTGTGAATTCTCCGATCAATGGTTAGAATTATGTAAGGATAGATTTTTTTTGCTGCAATCTAAATGTTAAATTTGCGAAAGTATTATTTCTAAAATTATTATTATTATGTAATTTAAATGATGATATGCATATGTATTTCTGAAAACTTCGTGATTTTGGAAATTAATTTGAGATATCCAAATATTATTATTATTATTATTATTATTATTATTATTATTATTATTATTATTATTATGTTTTAATGAGGATTAATTTATGCGATTATAATGAGATTCAATTATCATTACTATGTCTATGTTCATATTTTGCTATTGTGATTATGTAAAACCCTGCGTATATGTGTATATATTATGCGTATATATTATGCAAATATTATTGTTAATTTAAATCATCCGGGGATATGTTATGCGTATATGTGTATGCTTTTAATTAAATTATTATCTTTAATGATTTTATTTAATAATAATATATCATGAGATTAGTTTATTGACAATTAGTTGAATAAACATCCCACGATTTATAAAATTCGTGATTTATTTGTATAACGCTTGTGCATTAAATAAAATAAAGATTAATAGTATATCTACTAATAGAATTTCCATTAATTAATTAATGTGACTATTGGATCTACCCTGTGTGATAAAACTTTGTTTTGCTATTGTATGTTATTTAAATAATACATAATTATTGTTGTAGATTATTTTTAATTATATTCAAATATATTATTTAATTTAATGTTTAAATTAAAAATAATCTGTTAATCACCAAAGTGATCAGATTAGAAAGAATTTAAATAAATTTAGATATATTTGAATATATTATTTAATTTAATGTTTAAATTATAAATAATCTGTTAATCACCAAAGTGATCAGATTAGAAAGATATTAAATAAATTCATATATATTTGAATATATTATCTAATTCAATATCGATATTATGAATAATTTGTTAATCACCAAAGTGATCAAATTAGAAAGATATTTGTGTAGATATGAAATTAAATACAAAATTTAATTACTCATTAGAATATGACGCATTTATGACATTATGTTTTAATAATGGGTAAATTAAAGTTCATTAATTATAAGATATTTTAGGATCAACCCAAAGGTAGATCAATTATTTTATAATTAAGAACATGATTGAAAATTATTTAAGTACTTTTATGAAATGTGCAAGATTATCCAAGGATGACATGCATGTTCAATTAAAGTGCGAATTATTGTGCGATTTATGTTAGCGTCAATTATGTTTAATTAGTACGTTGTTGTTCACCCAAAGGAGAATTACAACGTACATTTATTGTTTTTGCCTTAAATCTGATTTGGAAATCTCAATTATTTTAATTTGCAGTAACTGTGCCCGCTTCGCTTCATTCGTATGCATCATCTATTCCTATGTTTAATGGGCTCAACTATCTCAAATGGTCTGAGCACATTCAATTTCAACTTGGTGTTTTAGGTCTTGACCTACCATTCCATGTTGAAAAACCTCATGCTATTACTGATACTAGCAGCGAAGGTGAAAGGTCACTCTATAATGATTGGAAGAGATCGAACAGATTAAGTCTGATGCTTATGCGAATGAGTATAGCAAACAACATGAAGTCTACTCTTCCTGAAATCGATGATGCTAAGGAATTTATGAAAGCAGTTGGGGAACGCTCTCAAACTGCAGATAAGTCTCTCGCTGGGACACAAATGGCTACGCTAACCACCATAAAGTTTGATGGTTCACGATCCATTCATGAGCATGTCGTTGAAATGACGAACCTGGCAGCAAGATTGAAAGCCTTAGGGATGACTGTGGATGATAACTTTATGGTGCAGTTTATCTTGAATTCACTGCCCCCTGAGTATGGTCCGTTCCAAATGAACTATAATACCATGAAAGATAAACGAAATGTGAATGAACAGTATGCTAGTTCAAGAGGAAACACGGCTTAAAAATCAGGGCTCTCATTCAATTCATCTTATTACCAACCAAGGAGATGGTAGGAGACTCAGGAATAAGAAAGTGAAGGGGAAGTGCGGACCATTGAAAGTGAATGTGCCGTCTTCCTAAGCCCCGAAGAAGGAACTCAATAGTGTCAAGTGTCGCTTTTGTGGAAAACCCGGACACTTTCAAAGAGATTGCCTGAAACGAAAGGCTTGGTTCGAAAAGAAAGGTACTAATGCTTTTGTATGTTTCGAATCAAATTTGATTGAAGTTCCTCATAATACTTGGTGGCTTGATTCCGACTGTACCACTCATATTTCAAAATCCTTACAGGGATTCCTTACGATCCAAACTACAAAGCCAAATGAAAGATTTGTTTCTATGGAAAATCGAGTCAAAGCTCCCGTTGAAACCGTAGGAACCTACCATTTAATTTTAAATTTTGGACATCATTTAGATTTATTTGACACTCTTTATGTACCTTCTGTTTCTCGCAATTTGGTTCCTATTTCTAAACTCAATTATGTTGGATATTCATTTAATTTTGGCAATGGTTGTTTCACTTTATTCAAAAATAATTATCCAATTGGTTCTGGTGTTTTTGAAAGTGGTCTTTACAAATTCAAACTTGACAACCTCTTTTCTGAAATTCTTTTAACCCTGTTGTAGACAAAAAATTGTGTTATTTTTAATAAACACAAAATCTGTACAAATTATATTTGATTTGAATTTAAAGCAGGTCCTATTCTCTAAATGGATCCTTTGATTCTCCTTCCGGGTCGATTTATTTTCCAACTTGGTTTTTGATGGCTTCTTTGATCCGAAGAGGTTTGGTCTTCAGTTTGACTTTGCCGGCTTTTGGGAGGGTTTTGGTCTCCGTGCGGGCGATTTGATCGTCGGCTTTGGACTTGATGTCTTTTTTTTTTAGACGATCCGAGGCTTTGATCTTTGATTTGGCTTTGCCGCCTTTTGGAGAGTTTTGGTCTCCGTATTGGCGATTTGATCATCTTCTTTCGATTTGTTGTCTTCTTTGGACGATCCGCGACTTTGACATTTGTTTTGGTTTTGCCGCTTTTGGAGGACTTTGGTCTCCGAATTGGCGATTTGATCATCATCTTTGGATTTGTTGTCTTCTTTGGACGATCCGCGACTTTGACCTTTGCTTTGGCTTTGCCGCTTTTGGAAGACTTTGGTCTCCGCGTGGGCGACTTGATCGTCGACTTTGGATTTGATGTCTTCTTTAGACGATCCAAAACTTTGATCTTTAGTTTGCCTTTTCCGCCTTTTGGAGAGGTTCGGTCTCCGTGTGGGCGATTTGATCCTAAGCTTTGGATTTTATGTCCTCTTTAAACGATCCGCAGCTTTGATCTTTGAGAAGGTGGATTTGGTGCTCCATAACGCTTTTGGCGGCGTGTCCCTTTAACTTTTGGATCGAAGAGGGCCGAGTTGTTGCTTTGGTGAAGAATGCGATGAACACCTCGAAGCTTTGGGATGAACTTTGGAGACCTTCCGTTGGCTTTGACGAATTCCTCAACGGCTTTGAGAGCTTTGATCCTTGAAGAGATGGATTTAGTGCTCCATAATGCTTTTGGCGGCGTGTCCCTTTGACTTTTGGATCGAAGAGGGCCTAGTTGATGCTTTGTTGAAGAACGTGATGAACATCTTGAAGCTTTGAGAGGAACTTTGAAGACCTTCCCTTGGCTTTGCCGAATTCCTCAACGTCTTTGAGAGCTTTGATCCTTCCTCCGGCTTGGACATACGAAGAAGAACGTTAACTTCATCGATTCGTCAACCAATATTGGATCATTTGTCCAAATCGGTGACTTTTCGATGAAGAACGCTTTGAAGGACACGAAGAACAATGAAGAACATTGCAGAGAGTCTAGAGAGACTTACCCTTGCGCGAGTCTTCAAATGAACTTCGGTGTGTCAAATGAATTGGCTATGGCTCCTATTTATAGGGGATGGGTGGCCTTGGCTTCCTTTTCGGATGGTGCCACGTGGATAAAAAGATTTTATAATCTTTCCTTTTCTATCAGATGTTGTTTTCCATTCTTGACGGATTTGATTGTGCACCTTCCTTTCTCGCCAAAATCTTATATCATTGCCTTTTTTGGAAGATATTAATTTATATACTTCCTTTATTGACAAGATTAATTTATTTTGCTGCCAAATTTATTATGGCTCTATTTATGCACGTAATATTTGTAAGATATCTTCCATTTTAAGCAGATTTTTACATTAATGGTTGGTATTTTTTGTACAAAAATTAACATATGTGCATAATTAAATACCATATATTTATTTTATTGGAATTTTATTTTCTTCCAAAATATATGATATTTAATTGATTTTAGACAAATATATTTAGTGTCTACAAAATGCCCCATCGAGACTCTTTTAAGCCGACGCAAAGCGTTTAAGGCGTGAATGAGTCTCGAAACTTAAGTCTATTTTTTTTTTGACTGATTTTTTTTTATGGCTATTTTGATTTTTTTTTTTAGCCAATATTTTTTTCAAATGGCTTTTTCTTTTTTTTTTTTCTGGATGAGATTTTTTTTGTCCAATTGATATTTTTTTAAGCTCGATTTTTTTTTTGGCATAATTGACTGAACTCGGAGTTATATTCCAAGTTGCCTACGTATCCGGTTAAGGAATCAAGTCATAACGTAGTTCAAAACAAATTGAATTTGTTTGTTTTTGTTAACAGTTTATTCTCATGTTAAGGACTCTTGTTAGAAAGTTTATCCTCATTTCTTGGAGATTAGAGAAAGTTTATCCTCATTTCCAGGAGTGTTGTAGAAAGTTCATTCTCGTTTCTAGGAGATTGAAGAAAGTTTATCCTCGTTTCCAGGAGATTAGAGAAAGTTTATCCTCATTTCCAAGAGATTAGAGAAAGTTTATCCTCATTTCCAGGAGTGCTGTAGAAAGTTTATCCTCGTTTCTAGGAGATTGAAGAAAGTTTATCCTCGTTTCCAGGAGATTAGAGAAAGTTTATCCTCATTTCCAAGAGTGCTGTAAAAAGTATATCCTCGTTTCCAGGAGATTGAAGAAAGTTTATCCTCGTTTCTAGGAGGGTTGTAGGTATGATTGCCCCCACTGTTTGAAGTGTTGTATTTCTCGTCATCAGAGAAATCTTCAGTAGGCGGTCCATACATTCCACTAGACATCATGCTCAATTCCATATCATGAGCGCGAGTGGCGAGTTCTTCAAAAGTATGGAGTCGGATCCCTTGTAGGATGTATTTCAAGCTCCATTGCATCCCTTGAATGCACATTTCTATGCCGGAAACCTCGGACAAACAGTCTTTGCAGTTGAGGCTTAGACTTCTCCAGCGGTTGATGTAGTCAATTACTGGTTCATCTTTCCATTGGTGGCTGTTGGTGAGTTCAGTCATGCTGACGGTTCTCTTTGTGCTGTAGAACCGATTTAAGAACTCGTACTTTAGTTGTTCCCAATTGTTGATGGAACTAGCCTCTAAGTCGATATACCAGTCGAAGGCGTTGCCGTTTAGTGACCGCACAAATTGTTTGACTAGGAGGTCTCCATATGTTCCGGCATCGTTGCATGTCTCGAAAAAGTGCGCTATATGTTGCTTTGGGTTGCCTTTGCCGTCAAATTGTTGAAACTTTGGTGGTTGATAGCCCGTTGATATTTTGAGGGCGTCAATTCTTGCATTGTAAGGCTTGGCGTAAGTGTGCGTCGGCCTTGAACTCCCTTCGAATTCTTTTTTGATTGTTCCCTTGATGTATTTGTCAAGTTGGGATATATGGATAAAGGAGTTGGATAATCCTTGAAATGGATTTAATTCCGCCACCTTTTCTTTGCCATGACGCTACTCCACAAATGTTGCCGCTTTATTTTGGACCGCTAGGGAAGATTGTTGCTTTTCAGTTGCATGGCCGGCTTCTTCAAGCTTGTCCAGCTTTTTGAGAAGTTTTTCAATGAGGGCGTCTTGTTGTTGCATGTGTTGAGACATTCCTTCAACGATTTTGGCCAATGCTGCAAGTTGATCTTCTATATTTGAAGTGTTGATAGTCATCACCGGAGCAGAGCTTGATGCGGTTGAATGACTTGAAATTGGCCGATGAGTAGGTGGCATGAAAGTACCTTTGAAGCTTTTATATTCCTCGCAGAGAATACTTTGATCCACAATCTTTGGGTCCTCAATATTTGAAGCGTTGGTAGTCATCACCGGAGCAGAGCTTGATGCGGTTGAATGACTTGCAGTTTGTTGAGGGGTGAACAGTGCGGCAGTACTCTTAAAGTTGTCGTCTTCTTCATAGAGTGGACTTTGCTATGTGATTTTTGAAGAAGTGTCTTCAGATAACGACAATGCTCTTTTGGTCATGCTTCGTGTTGTCATTCCAGTATTTGTCGAAGCGCTTGAGGTTTTGGACGAGATGGGTGCGCCAACTTCTTTGGCGGCGACGGCGGCTTGAGCAACAACTTTTGACGCAACGTTGGAAGTCTTGATCTTGTAGGAAGCCATTGGTTGTTGAAAGTTCGTCGGAAAGAGAGATGAAAGGTAGAGAGGTCCCACTGGGCGTGCCAAAAATCTGTAGACAAAAAATTGTGTTATTTTTAATAAACACAAAATTTGTACAAATTATATTTGATTTGAATTTAAAGCGGGTCCTATTCTCTAAATGGGTCCTTTGATTCTCCTTCCGGGTCGATTTATTTTCCAACTTGGTTTTTGATGGCTTCTTTGATCCGAAGAGGTTTGGTCTTCAGTTTGACTTTGCCAGCTTTTGGGAGGGTTTTGATCTCCGTGCAGGCGATTTGATAGTCGGCTTTGGATTTGATGTCTTTTTTCTAGACGATCCGAGGCTTTGATCTTTGATTTGGCTTTGCCGTCTTTTGCAGAGTTTTGGTCTCCATATTGGCGATTTGATCATCGTCTTTGGATTTGTTGTCTTCTTTGGACGATCCGCGACTTTGACATTTGTTTTGGCTTTGCCGCTTTTGGAGGACTTTGGTCTCCGTATTGGCGATTTGATCATC